TCAATGAACTAATTCAACCCAAAGGTCAAGCTTATATGCTATGGCTATGGTCTAGTAAAAAATTACTCCCTCCGTTACAAATTATAATGCTTGTTTTCCATTTTTGTCCGTCCCAAAATGATATGTCTGTTTCTTTATTTGGTATGATTATTTATGTGGATTTTCCAAAATACCCTCCCTTGTAATTACTGCTACCCACCTTAAAAAATTAAGTGAGGGGCAATATTGGAAAGTCAACTTTAATTTTTTCCTTCCTTAAATATGTCCTAAAGTCAAAATAAGCGTTATAAAATAGGACGGAGGAAGTAATTTATACCAAATTAAGACATATTCATTTCGTCCCAAATTAGATTACAATTTCTCTTTTACGAGGCAAAACTTCACATTTTTAAAATTAATTTATTTAAATATTGGTATAAGTAATTAATAAAATTTATGTTGGGGCTGCGCGTGCCCTCACCTCAATCCCGTATTAGTATGATATTGTCCGCTTTGGGTCAAGTCTTCACGAATTTATTTTTGGACACCTCCCAAAAGGCTTCATACTAATGGGATTGGATGAACCTATGTATTCTGATTCATTTACTCCTAAACTTTCAGTGTGGGACTTGGAGGAATCCCAACAAGTCTGCACTCAACCAAGGACCACACAACCTCCGACCTCTATTCCAGCGGTAATCCATTTTTATCTGCCAACTTCTTGTATTGCCGCTACCAATTTGCGGGATGGTCATCTCTCTAAAAACCTAATTAAGATTATACTGTAAATTACTCCCCTAATAAATCTGTTGGGTTGGAATGTGAGGGTGCTTGGAGTCGGCATTCCACCGAAAGGATCACAACTTGTGATGTGAGTAATAAGAGCAATGCTAGGGGTACACTAAAGGTGTACCCCATTTGTACCCCAATCCTTTCTTCACCACTCATTTTTACCTCATTCTTATTTATTTAATTTTTTTAAATTTTTTGCCTATTTTTGTGATAATGGAGGTGGTGGGGGGACAAATGAGGGACACCTTTTGGTGTACCCCTAGCATTTTTCGATTAATAATTTTGAAAGAACTAGAGTTTTTGACATTTGACAACAATATTAAAGAGTTAAGGAGTAAATTCTTTGTTTAGGACGTGTCATCCACATGGGCTGAGGGGCAAATTGGGGATTTCGATGGTGAAGTGAAGGGGCGAATAAAAGCACGGGGAGGCCCACGTGGAGGCCACATGAGGTCTTTATATCATTTTGATGCGGTGTATTTAAATAGTTATTGCCCGTGTCTCATGTCACATATTCGGGGAGGCCCAATTCCAACCTAATGACTTTTTTTAGTACTCTTTAAAGTTTATATCCAAATTCTTAATTTCAAATAAAAACTTGATCTGACAGATAGATACATACTGTTATACCATATAATTTGAGCTTTTTTTGTCTAAAAAAAGATTACTCACTTATTAGAGTTCAAATGGTATAATAATGAGATTTCAATTATTTCTAGAAAGAGAGCTTATTTATGTGATCTTTTATTTAGGTAAAAAAAATGCAACCTAATGTAGGTCATAAAAAATATGAAATTAATAGTTTGGTATGAAATAATTGATAAAAGAGAAATCTTAATTTTTTATAATCATATTTGTTTTCAAATTCTATAGTTTTATCTCTTCATTCTAAACAAAAATTCGTATAATTAATAGATAAGATACCCTTTTCACCTCTAAATAAATTTTACATTTGTTTATGATACATTTAAATAAAAATAGTTTTGATTCTATTTATTTAAAAATACATTCATGTAAATATATAAACAAAAAATTCATTTTAAAAATTAAATTAAAAACTATATAAACAAAAGATGTTTGGACTACGAATTCGTCAGCCCCAATCCCAACGTAAAGACTTTTAAAATACGTGATGCTACTTTTTCTTGTCTATTTACCCCATCTATCTCCATTTTGAGTATAAATTAGGGAAAATAAAGAAAAATTTAGATTTTTTAAAAATTCATTTAATTAAAATATTGAGATATAAATAAAAAATAAAATTTATATATTTAAAAGATACATAAAAAATTTACAAAACAAAAGGTGACAAATTTATATTATTTTATCAAATAATTAATGAAAATACACAAATGAATAATAGTTATTATGATTTTGAAATAGTAAATATTATAATCAAATGTGGGACAGGGAAGTATAACTTTGGGTACATCAGAATTAAGAAAAGGATAAAAAACATTAAAGAGAAATTAAATAGTAAAAATGAGTGTGATGGGTTTGATTCCACCAACTTTGAAAGTACGAAGAACGATAACAGGATTCACAATGGTAAGGTAATGTCTTGCCTCGCCTAGTCATGTCAACAAATACAACTTAAATCATACTCCCTCCGTCCTATATCTTTCTTCTCGTTGCGCAAAACGAAGAAAAATCCCAAGTTTTTTCAATCTATTTTATTTAAATATTGGTATAGAAATAAAAAATAAAACATACATATTTAAAAACTAGATCAAAAGTTCAACAAAACAAGTGGTGACAAGAATATTTTATTTTATCATATAGGCCATGAAAAAACACAAATAAATATAAATTCTCGTGAAGTTGGAATAGTGCTCTGGGAAGAAAGTTTTAAGACAGAGAGAGTAGCATTTCATGACCATTTCACCACTCTTTTCATTTCATGTGCAAGATATGATTCTCTCATTTTTTTATTTTTTAGTATTTTTAATATTTTTAATATTTGAAAAATTTTTTTTTTTTAAAAAGGAGTAGACATATTTTAATAATTAAATAGATGTGTAAAATATTTTTTGGTAATTAAAAATCATTAAAAAGTACAAGTATAAACAAAAAAGAATAATTTGTCACTGTATGTTACGACACTCCACTCATTTGTCACGGTGACTCGATTATTTTTTATTGGTTAAAATAATCTATGTCACCATGTGACATTTCATTTTTGCATTGTCATTAGTCATTACAAATGATCTAATAAGAGTGATAACAAACTCTCCGGAATAAGTTCTCAACATAACTTGCACTAGTATAAATAAGAGGGTATGGAGATGATTCAACTTGATCGAAGTTATTAGCAACCCTAACCATACTTCTAGAAAGATAAAGTAGTCATGTTATTATCTTTCTAAAATGTACTCCGTAGTTTTTTATTTTAAAATAAGAATAACACATAAAGAATATCTACCGGCCTAATAACGTGAAACATTATTGTATAAGTTGCCACATACTCCCGGCCCAATAAAGTGAAACATTATTGGACAATTTGCTACATATTCACGGCCCAAAACGAGATTTCTTTTCTTCTAAAGGTGTTATAATCAACATTTTTCATAAAATATATGTTGGCCGGTTAAACACTCAAATTACACCCTCCGTTGGGAAAAAAAAAATGTTTCCCATTTATTTTTCATGGTCTCCAAAATTACACTTTGATCTCTAAAATCTTTATTTATACGTAAATACATTTTATAAAAAAATTAATATATGAAAATTACGTTTCAATAGAAATATATTAATATTAAAATTAAATCATAATACAATGTATTTTTTCGTATATCGGAGTCAAAATTTACAAATTTTGACCAAGAAAAGTCAAATAGAAAGAACACTTACGGACGGAAGCACTAGAAACTACGACCCAGGCTAAAGGAATACACTCACCGTCCCACAAAATATTTTTTTCATCCGCCTAAAAAAAAAATTTCTCTTTTCTATTAAAAAATTTATTTTATTCCTACTAATTCTTAACTTACCTATGACAACCCACTTTTTCATTATTAATCTATCCATCACATTTAAAGGAAGGAGTACATTACAAATACAATAATTGAGTTTTTGAGTGTATCCTACTCTCCCTCCCAAAACAATATTACCTGTTTAAAAATAGAAAGGAAATAAAAATGTGTAACTTTGGAATTTATCATAAGAAAAATACTCCGTGATACTTCGCTCTTATTAAAAAATCATTTTAAAAGTTTTTTTTTTGTCAATTTGAGAAAATATGGGCAGATGTTTGTGGAGTGCCACCAACAAAGGATGAAGTGCATTTATGAATTCCCCCTCCTAAGCTTCAATTATGACTTGATTGAATATTACTCACTCCGTTCTCAAAAACACTTCCTTTTTCATTTTTTTCACTTCCAACTTAACAAAACACTTCTCCTTTCTATTAAAAAACCACTTTTATCCTTACTTTTTCATACCTTACCTATCACATCATACTTTTTCTCTAATAATCTATCCATCACATCTTACTTTTACCCATCACATCAGGGGCAAAATTAGAAATCAACTATAATTTAACACTTCCTTATTTTTGCCCCAAATCAAATGGGAAGAGTTTTTCCAAACGGAAGGAGTGAGAGATTTAAATAAAATTTTGAAAACTTTTTAATTAATAAGATAGATCTAATAAAGTTATCTTTAAGTTAATATGCAATACCATTCTCAAATTTTTGAATCAATAAAATCAAACTGAACAATCACATTTGTAACAGATAGGTCATACCACATATTCACATAATCCAAAATTTGTTACAAATTGCGGATACTACATTTAGGGTCCGTTTGGTATACGAAATTGATGGAATTAGAATTGAATTGGAATTGAAATTTCATGGGATTCATCAATTCCATAGAATTGAATTCTGCCAATTTCAATTCTTTTTTTGCACTGTAAATTCCAAATCCACATAATTTTTGTGTTACTAAACACAAGAATTGGAATTAAATTCCTCAATTCTAATTCCATAGTTTGAATTCCGTATACTAAACGAGACCTTACAATAATACAAAATTATGCTATGATCTAGTGATTATAATATGCAACTAACATAAGTAATTAAAGACATATAATTACCCGGCCGTTTACCCCAATAAACGACCTAGCTAGCTAGCTACTCCACTATGGAGAAGACTTGACGTCGGCGAGGTTGCATGGCAAAGAAAAGGTCAACCTCAGGTGACCGGAAAAACGCAATCTCGGTTGGCACCGCCGCCGCCCCTTTTCCGACGTGCCGCTTCTTCCGCGGAGGCGGTGGCGGGGAGGCCGCCCTACAGATTCGGCAGTCTTCTCTCTCCGGCGTCTTGCACCCCTCCGCAGTGACGGCGGCGGCGGCCACTTCTTCCCCCTCCTCCTCTTTCCCCATGATAATATGATATGTATCTTCGAGATTGAAATGATTTTTTTTTTAAAAAAAACAAATTAAATCTGGTTATGTAATTACAGTTAGGCGCATGAGAGGGGGTGCACGTGTTCGCATTTCCGGAAAGCTTGCGTCGACGTGGAGGGAGTCGTGGGTGGATGGCAAACCGTGCGGCTCTGTTGATGATATTGGCGGGAAATGTAGGTCGGTGGGGTTACTTTGGGCGGAAGAATAGGTGTGGGTCCATCATTCTACTTTGAGCTATTGTAATTGTAAGAATTTAGGATGAGGTATGAACAACTAGATTGGGCAATAAGACACTTGAGTTGAATCACATTAAAAGATTGAATCCAATCGATTAGTTAGTTCAACTCAATAACTTATATACCAATTAATTTCCTCACACTTTTCCAACACGTGGGATGCTCTTTAACAATTTTTTTCTAAACTTGGTCCAACTAGTCGGACCCTAACATTTCATCTCGTCTCATATATAGTATTCAGTCATTTTGGCTTGTTTCAGTCAAACTTGAATTGCCAATTTGATTGAATTTACATTGCATATTAATAAAAAGAAATAATTTTTTTGAATGATTTCTATGAGATAAATTTAATTAAAATTATTCGTATACGAATATGTAATACCATTAATATTTTGTTTATGATTAAAATTTCTTCCGTTTGACTTAAAATCAATTAAAATGAATTTTAGGACGAAAGTAATACTCCCTCCGTCCCAGAGTATTTGTCCACTTTTATTTTTACACACCATTCAATACACTTCTTTAATCCATTTTATCTTGTAATTTGTATATTAAAAAAATTATAGAAATTATATATTAATAATCTATATGTTAAGACAAATCAAACAAGATCACACATGACTATATTTAGGTTTACACATTGAGAGAATTGATGAGTCAAAGTGCTTAGATGAACAATTCCAAAAGTCAAAAGTGGACGAATATAGCGGGACTGAGGTAGTAGTATTTATTGTTAATAAATACGTAGTATTAGTGTAGCCAACTAGCCATGTACTCTGTAACAAAACAGATAAATGAAACATATTAAAAATATCCAATTTGAATCTGAATTGGATCGGTATCACAGTTTGTTATTTCTAATCAACAAACGCGGTGTAAAATAAAAAACCATGAACAATAAGTGACCTATAAATAATTATAATCATGATTTAATGAGATACTTTGTTAAATATAACTATAAATATAGCCATGATTTAATTATATACTTTGTTGAATATAATAATTAACTCAAACATGTAAGAGGCGGAATACTTTGTTCGTTCCTAAAGAAGTTTTGAGGATCAATCATCGTCTTAGCTCTGACTAACTTGTCAAAATTGTTCTTAAAATATTTGATCCCCCAAACCTTAGCATCTTCATAGGTTGAACAATTGACATTGTGGTTTTGTCCAATGTCAAGATCCCTATAGTTCACAAATGCTTCCCTTGGAGACTTTGAAACATATGGCTCAAAGTATTCATATAACCTTCTTATCCAACTCACACGTTCTTCCATTGCATCACTCCCTTCTTGGCTCCGAAACACCATTTGTTGAATTATGAACAAATTCCCACCTCTATGAGGAGACGGAGTTGCAAACTCCGTTATCTCTTCCATTCTCCCGCCATACGGCGTTAGGACGATCACGCCCGTTAAATTTCGACGGAGCAAACGCCAAATCCCCTCCCACCCTTCTAAAGGAATCGGTTCCCTTACAAAGTCGGACTTGGCTTTAAAGTTGTTCGGTTTTCCGTTGTTAACGGTGGCATTCAGCAGATCTGTTAGGGGCGCGTTAGGGTATCCATCAATGTATAAGAGGGATTTCGCCCAGCTTAACTCCGTTAGGTTTTCTCGTGTCAATGTTAGCTCGGGTAACCTTTCGTTTAAAATTGGAAGAAGTTTTTCGATGGGTCCGAGGAACAACGAGTTGAAATTGACATAGATCTTGTGTAAGGATCCAACCGCGATGGCTCTAACGAATAACTCTTTGGGTAAGGTGGGAGCAACCGTTTGCCATTTATGCACAAGATTTGTCACGTTTGGGTCAAGAAATTTGCCAACACTGAAGACCGTGACGTTTTCCGGCACGTCGACTAAATTCAGTTTCCATGCAAGTATTACACCAAAAGTGTTCCCTCCCCCTCCTCTGATGGCCCAGAAGACGTCCTCCCCCATCGACTCGCGGTCGAGGATTCGCCCGCGCGCGTCGACGAGGCGCACGTCGATCACGTTATCTGCCGCGAGGCCGTACTTTCTCAACATCGCGCCGTACCCTCCCCCGCTTATGTGCCCGCCCACCCCGACCGAGGGACAGACGCCGGCCGGAAAACCGAGAACCCTGCTCTTCTCCGAAATCCGGTAGTAAAGTTCCCCTAGAGTCGACCCGCCCCCCACCCACGCCGTCTTCTCCACGGCGTCCACGGTGATGTTCTTGAAGTTCACTAGATCAAGGATCAAGAATTGGTTCCCAAAGTAGCTCGTGTGCGAGAGTCCTTCGTAATCGTGCCCGTTTCCCCGGACGCGTACTTGCAAGTCCTGTTCTTTGGCACAAAGAATCACCGCCTGCACCTCGGACTCGTGCCTCGGAGTCACTACGACGAGAGGCTTTAGAGTGTCCGAGGTGTTGAACCTGGTGTTCTGGATGCGGGACCCGAGGATGGATAAGAACGACGAGTTGTTTGCGGCGTAAATGTCGGAAGAAACATAGGTTTCGTCGCCCCAAGAGTTACGGGTCATGCATTGTTGGAAACCGGAGACGTCCGGTAACGCGTGGCACGCGTAGGAGGTAAGGAGAAGCAAGAAAACAAGGACCCAAAATGTGCTTTGAGTCTTCATTTCTTCTCCCTCATGAAATTAATTATATGTTCTTTAATTATATTGGGAATTATTTGGGATGTATGGATTGGTTTTATCTTGCCATGCCACTAACAGGAATTAAAGTGGATCAAAACGTTGTGGCACGTTAAGCTTGTGGTTCAGTTTCTTTTATGTTAGGAGTACATCTATATAAGTTGAATGCAATAATAAAAATAATGAAAACTTGAATTGTAATTAAGAGTTTCTGGCAAAACATATACAGATGTCATTAATGTTCCAAGGGGAGTTTCATCTATAAATCTATATGGTTGTATCTATATCTACACCAAGAAAGGAACTTTACAAGTTAGATTTGAAATTTTTTCATCTATATGCATACCTAGAAAGGAACTTTTTTAGAAGTTAGATTTCCTAAGGTCCCATGGCCACTATGGTTGTATCATTTTCTATACTAAAAAAAATTGATGTTGAGCGTTGCGCAGTTGGCAAAGCAAGGATTGTCGAGGGATAAGACCCAAGTTCGGATCCTGGCAACTGCGCTATGAGGCAATTATGCTAAACACATGGCTTCTGCAAGTACTAGGTGCAGGCTCGACCCGGCCCTCGGGGATGGGGCTCATCCTTTTTTTGTCAAAAAAAAAATGAAGAACTATAGGGTTAGAACTACTCTGGGTTAGCTCTTTTTGGGATGACATAACTGATTTAGGAGGGAGTATAGGGCACTACACATTTAAAGCTCACCCCATGACGTAACACACATTTCCAATGGCTAAGTTTTCCATTCACTGGTTTGACCTCATTTTATTTTTTCTATATCGAACGAAAAACTAAATGCACGCCACATAGATAGATGAGAGTTTAACATTGGAAGGGGTATTATTGTAAACATGCATGAACCTTGTCACACATATAAACTCGGGCTGAATTCCCTTAACACCGTCACACCGGATTTGGTAGCACCGTAGCCCCCACCCCCCTCCCCCCAAAAACCACAAATGGCTTTCGTATCATATTATGACACCGAAGTTTGGTGTCAAAAGAACCATGGCATATAAACTTTATGGAACAAACCTTAAGGGGTCTCAAATAAGGACTAACTTAGCATAGACTCATAGAAACACAATCCATTCACTCAGATGAGATAATGAACTGGACAAGAGGACCTATTACTCTAACTGAGCTTAATACACTATTAGTAATTAAGTACAAAGAGTATATTTCCCTCTCAAAAGATTACTTTCTTTTTTCCGGAAATAAGATTGGAAAAACATCATAGACGACCATTTCTAGTATTAACTCTGGAAGAAGGCTACTCTCCCAAGAGGATCTAAAAGACTGAAATACAATTGTCAATAATATGTGAGTCTTGGTTCACTTTTCTATGGATTCTTATTTTCAACTTTGAGGGGAAACAAAATGTTGTAAATGCAACGTGATATTCAATGGGGAAAAGCATAAATAATCCCATAATCAAATGACCAAAGACCAAATTCTTAAAGAGAACGTCTGCAGCTAGACAAACGTATGCATATTGAGAGTATAAAAACAGAAAGACAGAAGCAGCAAAGGGTAAAAAGATGTTACGGCGTATAAGAAGAGGTCATCTTCGGGGCATCAGCTATGTGCTCTGAGTAAAATGACGAGGGACCCAACCAGAAATGCCGCAAAGAGTCCGACCTTTCCATCCTTGCAGTACCCAATGGCCATCTTCATCAAACACAAACTCTTTGTGATACCCTTCCTTCACCCTGCCTCTTAACTTCTTCACAAGATCTGGGCTCATGGGCATAGGCTTGAACCCAGCTTTCGTAATGCGCAAATGCCACTGCTTGTATGTTTCTGGCCTCTCTACTCTTTCCATTCCCTCACAAGCAATGATATTAATTATTTCGCGTCCCAGGAATTCTTGCTCAAACCTCAATCTGCTGTCATCATGTGGCACAGTAGCGTCAAACATATCAAAATAATTAAAGTAGAATAATAAAGCCTCTCGAAAACGAGGCAGAAACAACGGGCCACTGTGAGATGCACTGAGCACCATTGGTACAAAAACTTGTGGATTTATCTCCCGGATTAAGTTCAGAACTGCATCCCTAGGGCTAGGGTGGTCCCCCCCAACGGTCTCTTCATCCATTAGGTTTCTCAACCGAAACCCACAGCTAACAGCAACAACCTCACCCCTAACAAGCTTCAAATCATCAATTTTAATTTTCTCCCAGTTCTGTGAAGTTATGGCATTGTACTCGAATGGAACACCAAATTGTTCGCAATAATTTGCCAAGAGACGACCAGTGTCTACTACCAGTTGTTCTTGGCGAAAACCACGTACGGGATAGTCGATTCCTGTTATTCGAAGTTTAGGAGGGCCTGTGGGTATCTTTGAAAGATCACGGATAAGAGTCGCCCACTGGATACCATAATAAATACCAAAATCTATGAGATGCAGTGATGTGCCCTTTGAAGCTACTTCCTGAATTACTTTATTAGCAATGAGATATGATATCCTTAAGACTGGCCAAGATATCATGAAGGATCTTAATAGCCCAGTTCTCTTATTTGGAGCTAGGCCCTCGGAGAGTTGTGGGCCTGTTCCATTAAGCCGTGCCTCAAGAGCATTTGCAAATGCATGAGCCATCCTTTGATAGGCATCACCAGTTGGCGATGTGTACTTTCTGATATTTCTTAATTGTTCTATTGCAGACCCATGATCAAAACCAGCAATAGATCGTGCACAGCTTAGTAAAAGCGACTCCAGATCCACAAACTCAGTATTATCTTTTTGTTTCTTTGAATGACTCTTCCTGCCACCTTGGTGGTTCTGTTGTGTTCCCTTGCAGCCAACTAGAGATGGAAACTGATCAGCTATGATACTATCAGCACATATTAAAACCTTGTCAAACATCTCGGACAATTCATCCTCCCCCACTTCATCATGAACTGCAGAATATTTGCTGCTCCTTTCTTCTTCTATCCCACTTTCATCTGGAAGGTTATGCTTCTTGCTTCTAGTAGAATCGGTGTTACAGTCATCCAGGTTAGGTACACTTGATGAAGGGAAAGAGGGAGGATCACCAGCCAGAGATGATTTTGGTTCTTCAGGATTGAGAATCGACTGGTCAGTGTCAAAACTGCTATTGGTGCTGCCAGTTGTGCTACGATCGCCTGAGCTCCCAAATGTGCAATGCGGCGTTTCAGAATTATTGTTAAAAAGTAGAGGTCCTTGATAAGGGGATGAAGGGTTCTGACGCAGGGCTTCGTAGAAGGAATTCTCAGCAGCCCTAAGAGCAACGGGATCATAAGACATGCTGGGATCATTCTCATCCAAGTTATCCTCCAGTAGTATCTGGGTAAGAAACTTGATCACAGCATCAGAGTCGCGATGATCTTGAGAGTCCAGCGTAGGAGCACGATTTGGACATTTTGAATTTGATGGGGCATCCATGACATGGAGAGGTACATTGTCATCACTACATTTCTGAGGAATATCCATTGATTCTTTTAGGTAGCAAAAATGATCTTGTTCTGCAACTGGAATCTGTTGACTCACCAACTGATCCATAATCATCTTTGTGAGGAAACATACACCTACGTACGCAAGGAAGACGAGTAAAGAACAGCAGAAGCGAAATTAAGTTTGTATTCTTGAAAAAGCGGGAGAAAGGATGGGTTATGAATAACTACAACCCAGTACGATCCCACTTTGGGATGGATTGGGATGGATCGGTGTATGTTCCCTATCTAATAAGGTAGAGTGATGTTTCTGAAAGACCAGTGGCTAAATACAACCCCTAGAAGAAGATGAATAGTAAAGGTAAAACTTTAAACGATCGCGCAATAAGGGCACTGAAAATACCCGTGAAGACCCAATGAAGGCAACCATTCATGATAAACAATGAGTTTTCGGAACACATCAAATATTCAGGCATAAATAAGATCATTATGAGCCAAAAAAGCATATTATAGTTGGTAATTGTTGCTGATATGATTATTATAACAGCTACTACTACTCCCCAATAAAGATTTAATGACATGTGAAAATCACTGCAAATCACACCACATAATAATTTATTAGACATTCAACCTGAGGATAGGTGAAATTGATCAGGCAGAAAAACTTATAAACCTATAAAAATTTAAAATGCAGTAATTATTTTAAGAGAACTGATTGAGCATACCTGTAGAGACTTTACAGAAAGCCAGTGAAGTAAGAACACTAAATAGCAGAAAAGAAGGAAAACAATGAATGCATGTTTTTCAGAAGATCGAGCGCGCCCCTTCAAATACTCCTCGGGGCTGTTTGGGAGGAGCCGAGGAGGAAGATGATTTGCAGAAGTCCAAATTCCTTTTTGACCCAAATACAGAGAAAAGGTAAAAGTTCCTTTTTTTTTGGATGCCGCAGGAGCCCCGGATTTAGTCTTCTGGAAATGCGGTAATTAAACCCCTCCATGGAAGGATCTGTAGATTGATTGGCAGCTGATCTCGCAAAGGACAATCGGCCGGTCAACGTCGTCGGAGATGATCGATAACTCCGAAATTCAATACGTGGGGGATTAAGACTAGATCGTATTTGAAAATTGAATTACACCCCCTTCCTCCTAAATCCACTTCCAACTTTGACGTTATGCCATTTTTAAAGGTTTCATTTTTTTTCACCTTTGACTTCTTATTTTGTCCCTTATGCAAAATTTTAATTAAAAACTTAAAAAAAAGAGAATTTGCCTAAATATGACTAAAATATAATAAGTTTTTCAATATATGATCATATATTTTTATTTTTTAATATAAGATCATTGGTCATTATCCATAAATCATTATTTAAGTAAATGTACACTATCACTGGACATCATTCCTCTCACTAGATATTACTCAATCCATCTGGAAATATTATTCCCATGTTGACTTGACAAGCTTATTAAAGAATAGTAAAAAAAATGCAAAATTTTCAAAAATACACATACTATAAACTTTTAAATCTCCTTTTCTTATTAAAAAAGTACTAAAAAAGTATATTAGTGATAAAATAGAAGAGTATTATTGAAATTCATCCTTAAAAAGTATACTAAAAAAGGAAATGAGAAGAATATTTCCGAACGGACCAAAAAGGAAAATGGAAAGAATATTTTCGGACGGGGGAGTATTAAATAAAGAAACATGCCTAAATAGGAGTAAAACATCTATCATATCCCAAAATAGTACTCCAAACTTAAATTTTCCTAAATAGGAGCTAAATTATTGAAATATAAAATTTGAGATCCACGCACGGTCAAGGCGGTCAATAGTTAGAAAATTCCAGGATTAGCCGTCCCTAAAGCCTCTTTCTATGGAGCCGATCAACAAATTGTTCTTCTAAAGTCCAGTTTGAATGGATAGTGTATGGATTACTATTGAAAATTTCAGCCCGATAGAGTGCTACCACTCTTTTTTTTCTTAATTAATTCTTCCACGAAATCAGAGCGCCAATCGCATTCTACTTTGCTCAAAGCCAACCCTCTTCTTCAATCAATTTTAATCGCCGCCGCCAACCAATCATAGCTTCATCACTACCGTCGTCGTCGATGCTCCCTCCATGCACCTCATCTCTCTCAGATTCATCACTGCACTCGTGTCACGCCACCCACCTCTACCTTTCTTCCTCAAAGCATGATTTCAAAATGAGCATTTTCTCTTTTGATCTTTAATTAAATTCTATTTTCTTCAAAATTCTTGCTGGCAGTCGTGGAGGGCATTATATGGTGCCATATATGTTTGACATTATGTCTTTCTTTGACACTGTAATGACTGTTAATGTGGCAGTGTGATGACGATGGTACAGATTGTGATGGGAGTGTCGTCGATAATAGTATAGATAGAGCGGTGATGTCATCGGTGGTGAAGACGAAAAACTAAAGGCATCAATGGTAGGTTTCGATTGCAACGATGCGGTGGGGCGGAGTAGAGGACGACGGGATTGGAGATTCAAGTGATAGTGACAGGGATGCGGCGGCGATGATGGCGGCAGTGGCGGTAGTCGGTGTCACCGTCGGCAGCATGCTGTTGGTTAGTTGGCTTTTTTAGTTTGGACTTGGCCGCCACTGGCGGATTTATTTGAAAAAAGATATATCCTACAGTTAAAAAATATTCATCTAACACATATTATGTCACTGTTAAAAAATTAAAATAAATAAAATTATATTTATAGAATGTCAAAAATTTAGAATGTATACGAGCTCGTGCGAATCACGAGGTTAACACTAGTCATATGTCATATGTATATGTATATATGTATATGTATGTATATATCTTTTATATATATATATATATATATATATATATATATATATATATATATATATATATATATATATATATATATCCTTTATCCTTTATCCTTTATCCTTTATATATATTATTTGAGACTCGGGCTCACAGAATGTCGACATGTGGCGGGTCTACTTGGCAAGTTTTTTATGAGTCATCCGCCACCTTTGAAGAGTTTAATGACTTGGCACTTTTATATTAAAATATAGAAAGATCCAATTCTAATTAATATGCCTAATATATACGGAATACCTTATACGGCGACTAGAATATAATTACGAAGTAGAAAAATAAGAAGATAATTAGGATGAGTAATTTTAAATTTTTTTCTAATGTATTTTGATTAATTATAATGAGTACAATGTAAAAAAACATCATAGTTTTTTCTACTGATAATATATGTTTAATTTATTTTTATGTATATTAATATTTCCATTAAATAATAATAATAATAATACATTTAAGTTAGAACAAATTGAAAAGGTTAAAAAGGAGAAAGACTATTATAGACGTAAAGCATAAAAAAGTATCAAAATTACTTATTTTGACTTCTACCTCAATACTTCTCCCTTCTAACTATTATTGTCATTTGAGTTTACTTTCATCTTTTTTTATTGTGTATTCTAACGTCTAACATTAGATAATTTTAAAAATAATTAAAATTTTGATTCTAGGCATTTTTTTAACTGAGAAAATTATAATATCCAAAGTGGACACTTAATCATATTGTTTAATAGAGAGAGAATCGTGAGTATTTCTTTGGTGCACCTTGAATGCATATCATTTTTGTGGACCTTCTCACATAAAATACATTTTTTTAATTTTTTATTTATAAAAACAAATTCTTATTTTAGTAATAAAGAAATACTTATTTTGCTCATATGTACGTCTATGGTACACCTTAAGGCCACCATAGAATTTGTCGAGAATCATTAATATGTTTAAAATAAAATTCATAGATTGAAATAAGACTTTCAATGCGTTAAACCAACGATAATAATTTTAGAATTATTGAAGATATTTTTTTGAAAAAAATGCATACGCAATGTTGACTACTTAAGTAAATTGTTTTTGGGGAAGCCTAATATAAATAAATAACCTTAGATATTTGAAGAAAATTATACTACACCCGTCCCATTAAATTTTTCAAATACAAAGAAAGGCGTCCCACAAAACTTTTCAAATTAGAAAAAAGGCACACCCTAAAATCATTTATCCTACATATCATACATTATTACCTTATTATAAAGTAAAGGAAAAGTTTAAAAATAATATCAAAATTATATATTTTTAAAGATGTTCAGTGTTATGTCATTTCTAGATGATAGTCTTCTTAATAGATTTCAAAATAATTTCTTGATTCAGAACTTGAACTATGACAAAGAAAAATTGTCATTTGATTTTAGAGGATATTTATCTACGATGAATGAAGATCAAAGAAAGATATCTGATGTGATAATCAAAATCTAATATCTAAAAGAGGAGGTTTCTTTTTTATATATGATTACGGGAGACTTGGGAAAACATTTATATAACCAGTGTCTACTTTTCAAGAACGAATGGTATGTAAGGCTGTTTTGAATGTTGCATCCAGTGACATTGCAACATTGCTTTTGCATGGTGGAAGGATAGCACACTCGAGATTCTCAATCTCTCTGGCTTTAACTGAGTGCTCAATGTGTAATATCAAACAAGGGGGGTCCGAAAGCAGAATTAATCTAACAAACAAGTGGAATCATATGAGATGAAACATGTGTGATGAATAGATTTGTTTTTGAGGTATTGGATCACACAATGAGAGAGATATTGAGGTTCTACAATAATAACTCTAGAAATGAACCATTCAGAGGAAAAATATTAGTACTCGGAAGTGATTTTTGCCACTTCCTTCCAATTTTACCAAAACTTTGAGAGAGAAAATTATAGGTGCTACAGTGATTTCCCCAAAATAGAGGTTGTATTGTAAAGTTTTTACGTTGAGCAAGAATAAGATATTGCATTCATCTATGTCCTCTTACCTAGATAGGGATACACAAGCTTTTTCTGATTAGATAATCAAAATTGGAGATGGAAAGCTTGGTCAAGTGTTTGGTTGAATTGCTGACGTTAAAATTCTGACTGGATTCTTGATTCTTGACATAAGCTATCCTCCCAAGAGTATAGTACTGGAATTCACTTATCTGAAGTTATTGGAGAATATGAAAAAATATTCCTTTTTTAGGATTAGGCACCATTAGCACCCACTCTCGAAGTTGTTGAAATGATAAATGAGTTTGTCTTATTCCTCATTCTCAGTGATGAAAAAGGAGTAATTGAGTTATGATTCTTAATGGCAAGCAGAAGCCAATGTAGGTGTTGATGCTTATTGGATAACATTTGAATTTTTGAATGAAATCAAATTTCCAGATGTTCGGGGATCCCAAACAAATTCAAAAAATAGTTTTGAAAAAAAAGTGTACTGATTATGTTATTTGAATTGTATAATGGTACAAGATTAATTGTTGAAGAGGTACGAAAAAATGTTAACCGTGCAATCGTGGTTTCGAGAAATTGAGACGGGAAAAAGGTTTACATACCTCGAATAAATTTGGTACCACATGATCCAAGGCTACCCCTAAAGTTTCAAAAAAGACAATTTCCAATAGTTTCCACGAGTGAAGAAATATACATAATTAAAAATGTTTATTTTAGATGACAATAGAAACTCTTGCAACCATACCAAAAATGTTGCATACTCTGAAGTGTTTCAAAAAATTTGGATTTTACTAAGTCTTTGTGTTGTATATACTTTCAATTATTCAAATATTATTTATTCTATTTTGATGTTGATGTATATATAGTATTAAAAATCATGTAAGAAATTTATTTTATTTAATCCACAAAAAATAATACATGAAAAAAAGAATTGAAAAAATTTTTGTTCAGCCCCGTGCATGGCACGGGTCAAACTACTAGTATATTAAAAAGGAGAGTTGAGCTTCCAGAATTACGACATTTGGCACGCTGACTAGACAATTTTTTTAACACCTCCTCATCCATGTCAGCAAGAGCATTGAATGGAAGTTTCCTCATTAAAGCTCTTAATATACATAATTACTTTATTATTTTAGAAATAAAATTATATATTAAATTTTAAATGAGGAAAACTTTGGCAAAAATGAATATATTTGTATGATTTTTTTGTAACTCATTAAATTATTCATACATAT